TATATAAACATGGCGCTAATAATATTAGCTTAAATGCTAATGTTACATATTAGTAATATTGGCCTATACAGCGTTAGCTACACAGCTTATTTACTAATAATGTTTCATTGTTTCAACCCATTTATTTTGCAGAACACATAGAAACTAATGTAAATCAATCAAGGTGTGAATCAGGGCCCCAACGATACCCAACACAAATAGGGAAAGAGGGACAAAAACAAGGGGACGTTGAACCCCGCTTGCACTCACTACATACACATAACATAACACCAAATAACCACAGCCGAAGCATCCAAACCAATACATCAGGTGATGGAGCACATGACCCTCTATGAAGAATAGAGCAAACCAAGCCTATTGCTGGATGATGGCCCTCTCTTGCATGTTASTAACCTGTTTGTCCAGGTGGAGGCAGTGCTTATAAGGCTGAGATCACCTGAAACTCATCAGACTGAAGAAGTCTCTTGGAGAGACGAAACATTTGACTAACGAAGAACCCATCCAGAGGACCTACTTTTTTTTTCTTTTTGATTTTTTCTACCTGGATTACTGAGATGCATCAGGACAAACTAATGCAAAAAACTTAATTGTCACACATTACAGCTTTTTAGCCTTGACTCTGTTTTAGACTCAACTCCCATCGTCATCATCATCATCATCCCTAGAATGCATTGCATCACAGAAAGACCACGTGGTCTTTCACCACGTGAAAAATTTAACAATATATGTTAAAAATCCTTTTTCAAAGCAATTAGATGTTTAAAAGTGTCTCAAAAATAACAACTTTCAGACGAATAGAGAAATAATTAAGGTCAAAATGTGCAACAGAGATCCCTTTAAAGTTAAACTTCTGCTGCCACAAACAGCGCAAAGTCGCAAATGAGCTCCAGACTACATTTCCCAGCATGCACAGCTGTGGCCCCGCCTCCCGCATGCCTCTGCTGTGCGCTCCACGCTGCGCTGCGGGGATCCTGCTGAGCGCAAGTTTCTCCAGCGGCAGCAGCGAGGCGCAGGAAAAGTTTCCACAGAGGAATGGGAAAGTTGTAGAGGACTCAGAGAGCAACACGGGATTGGATCTACCATCCAGCCGGGATTACGCTCAGCATCCAGGGATTATTCTTTAACTAACCGAGGCTCGTTCCAGCAGGACACGCGCGATGCGTTCCTCCGCGCAGCCTCGCACCTGGAYGAGGTTCGCCGTGGTTTTTCTCCTCTTCTCGGGGCTGGAGCGGGGGTCCGGGTGCCCCCCTTTCTGCTCCTGTTCCGGGGAACTCGTGGACTGCAGTCGACTGAAAAGGGGCCGAATTCCAGAAGAGATCCCGGAGTGGACAGTCCGACTGTGAGTCCACTCTCAGAGCCTTTGTGTGCCCCGAATAACGGGTGGAAATTTAAGTTATTACTTTTTCATGAGTAGTTTGGTTTAGTTTTCCTTTATTGTCCCTATGAAAACTAAACTCGTTTATTAGATTGTATTTAATTAGGAACAGATCCATTAATTGTAGTTTTCTCCTGGATGATTGTGGGATCAGAGTCAACAGTTTAATTAAATAAAATTAGAGTTTGTGAAGTTTTGATTTCCTCCTTTTTTTATGAATAACTTGGTATTTTCACCTGCATGAATGTTCTGTTTTATCCTCAGGATCTTTTGGAAAGTTTGAAATTTACTTTCAGAGTATTTACCATATATATATA